GGAATACAAGATGTACAAGAACAAATAAAAATACGAGTAAAAGAAAAGAAGTCAATGGAAAAGAAGATGGGAAATATGGAGAGGAAAAAGAAGAAAACTCGAATATGAGGAAAAATAAATCAAAGAAGAAAAAATGGAATGTGAAAGAGAAAAAAAGACAAAGAAGAGATAAATAAAAATTAGAATAATATGATGTCTTAGAAACGAAGATGATTAAGATAGGGAGTGAGGGGAATGAGGAAGAAGAAAAAACGTAAAAAGAATGTAAAGAAAATTAGAAAGAAAAAGAAGAATAGTAAGTTGGAGGATATGAAGACAAAGAAATGACCGAAGAACAAAAATTTGAAAAAGAAGAAGCGGAAAAAAAGATGATGATAACGAATAAATAAATGAAGAAAAAAAAAGATGGATCAGTGAAAAAGAATAAGAGGGAGAAGAAAACAACCATATACAAAATTTAACTATTTTTTTGTACTTTTACAATTTATAAGTTCTTATCAAATTAACAAAATGTTAAGCTATTACTTCCATGGAAAATAAACACATTACAAAAATATGAAAAGTAATTAAAAAGAAAATGCGTTAATCTAATTTTAGTTGAATTCATGAATTAACAAAATCTAAACTATTGAATGAATTGATAAATGAATTACAAAACGTGGACAAGAACGAAAAAACAAGATTAAGAGAAAAGAAGACGATGAAAAAAAAATGGGAAACTTTGAGAGGAAGAAGAAAACTTTAACACGAGGAAAAGAAAAAATGGACTGTGAAGAAAAAAAGACAAAGAGGAGATAAATAAAAACTATAATAAGATGATGTTAGAGAAGGCGATGATAAAGATAGAGAGAAAGAGGGGGAATGAGGGATAAGAAAAATCGGAAATAGAATGTAAAGAAAATTAGAATGAAAAAAAAGAATAGTGAGTTGAAGGATATAAAGACACAAGAACCGATTGAAGAACAAAAATTGGAAAATAAAGAAGAAGCAGAAAAAAAGAAGATGATGACAATGAATAAAAAAATAGAAGAAAAAAAGAAGAAGATGGGATCACTAGAGAAGTATAAAAAGGAGTAGAAAATAACCATTAAAAAAAAGCTTTACTAAATAAAATAAAAATAAAAGCAAATCGAAAACTAATTTGTAATATGAGGTTGAGGTGTGAAGTTGAGGGGGAGTTATAATGTGGATTTGGGTTTAGGGTGTAGGTTCTTTAATTAGGGGGAGGAAGGGTTTATAATGTTAAGTTTGGATTTAGGGTTTATATTGATGGGTGGAAGGTTTAATTTTTGGTGCATTTTAAAAAATTTGAATTATTATAAAAGTATATCAAAATTAAAAATCAATGATTATAAATTTATATTTACCATTCTAAAATACACTTACAAATAGAAAAAACTAAAAAAAAGAAAGCATAACCATAATCAAAAGATAACAACACAAATAATTAGACTTTTAAAAGATCTCGACAATATAAAGATAAAAACTATTTCACGAATCCTTGAAAATCTAAACTACAAAATGAATGATAAGTGAAATATAAGACGTAGACAAGAAGGAATAAAAACACGAGTAGAATAAAAGAAGACGGTGGAAAAGGAGATGAGAAACTTCGAGAAGAAGAAGAAAACTCGGAGAGGAAAAAGAAAACAAAGAAGAAAAAATGAAATGTGAAGAGAAAAAAAGATAAACAAGAAATAAATAAAAACTAGAATAAGATGATGTCAATAAAGACAAAGATGATAAAGATAGAGAGTGAGGGGAATGAGAAAGAAGAAAAAACGTAAAAAGAATTTAAAGAAAGTAGAAAGAAAAAGAAAAATAGTAAATTGGAGGATATGAAGATACAAGAAATGACTGAAGAACGAAAACAACTATTACAAAATTTAACTATATTTTTTTTCTAGATCTTTGACAATTTATAAATTCGTATCAAATTAACAAAATGTTAAGCTATTACTTACTTGGAAAATAAACACATTACAAACATATGAAAAGTAATTGAAAAGAAAATCCGTTCATTTAATATTAATTGAAAGGATTTAGAGTTCTAAAACATCTCTTGCCCGCGCAGGCGCGGGCCAACTACCTAGTTAAAAATAAAGTAAGAAAAAATACCTATTAGTACATAGAATATGTATGTAAACTAAATATCTTAAAACTGTATGAAATATGTTACATAAACCCTTATTTTAAAAAAATCATATTAGTACATGGAATAAGTATGTAAACTAAAAATCAGAAAACATAATGAAATTGGTTACATGAACTCCTATAAAAAAAGAGCTATTGTATTCTCCTTTTCTTATTAACAAACTCATCAAAGCAAATTCAGCAAATCCCTTTAATTCTGTTTCTCTAATTTTAAAATCATTTCTTTGAAAGTTTAAGAGAACAGTGGAGATTATTTGACTCTAGGTCAATTGGATCGAAATCGAAAATATCGCCGTACTATTCTTATGGGAGTTGAGCTTTATTACTTGATAAAAAGATTAGTAACATCTTATTATATTGATATAGATAATCTTATTATAACACTGATTAACATTAAAGTTTTACTTTTGTTTGAAACATGAAAACACAATTCAAGTTTTTGTGCATCATTCACTACTTCAAAACTTTTAAGATGAGATGGCCGAAGGAAACATCATCGAAAGTTATAATTTTAATCTGCAGTCTGCTCATAAAAAAACTTCTATTACTTGATGAAAATGTTGATAACATATTATATTGATATATACCTTATTAAGAAAAGGAAGAAAAATAACTCTCATTAAGAAAAGAAAAAAATAACGAAAAAATAAATAAATTGTTACATCCATTACGAAAAGGAAAAGTAAAACATATTTCAAATACGAAAAGGAAAAAATAATAATATATAGTAAGCTATAACCTTCATGATTTAATTGTGTGATTCTATCTTTTGATTTAAACTTCTCTCTCATTAAGAAATAAATATAATGTATTTGAAAGTTTATGATATCAATAAAGAATATTTAACTCTAGATCATTTGGATCCAAATCAACATTGTTGTTGCTACTTGTGTCTAATATTTTGAAAACAAGTGTTAACACAAGAAAATTGGAAAAATGTATAAAATAAATAAAAAACAAACAAATAATTAGAAAATTACTAACTAATAATGGAAAGGAAATTTTATAATCGCCTGAGTCAAAAAAAAGCTGAAAAAATAATATAAATAGAAAACTAAGAAAATAATTATCGAGCAGCTAACTAATATTAACAGGAAAAAATTATAATGAACTGATACTCTAATTTTAATAGTTTAATTTTTGTTTTAGGTAAAAAAAGTTTTGAAAAAAACAAAAACGAAATTTTATATAATAAAATGAAAATAATGTAATAAAAAATTCCTATTAATATATGGAATAGGTATGTAAACTAAATATCTTAAAATTGTATGGAATAAGTTATATACACTCCTATTTAAAAAATCCTATTAGTACATGTAATAGGTTTGTAAACCAAATATCCAAAATTGTATGAAATTGGTTACATAAAAGGCTGTTTTCAAAAGTAGTACAAAATTGAGGTCAAATGCAAAAGTAGTTCACTCTTTTTTTCTTCCTTGTTTATCCTCACATATTTGTGATAATAACGAAAATGCCATTACTTTCGTCTTTGAAGTCTAACCGTGAAGTCTAACACGAAAAAAAGTCCAAAGAAACCTCATCTTCTTCATTTATTCACGAAAATGCCATCACCATCAATTCGTCCAACAACCATTCTCAACCGAAATCAAGCTTTCAATGCACGATGTACTCTTCAAACATATATACAAACTCATTATATCATCTCATAAACTTGTATTGGTCAATTTCTCTCAATTTTCACCCCAAGAATACACATTTTCATCTTTTCAAAGTTTATGTTCTTAGATCTTCCCATTTTTGGTGTGGGAGATCATTATAACGGTTGGGGAAGTTTGCTAAAGCTCTAAATCGAAGTTATAGGCCGTCAACGAAACATAAGATCACGGCAAGGTAAAATTTCCGGTAGATCTGAGTGAATCTCATATTTTTGCAGGTCCTTAGACTTCATAGCGAAGTCTAAAAAACTAGTTTTGCAATTGATTTTTCAAAAAATTTAGAGAGTAGACTTCACAATGAAGTCTACCCATATTCCTTTGAAAACAAAAAAATATGGCGTAGGCTTCAGAATGAAGTCTACTCGAAAAGATTAGTTTTGCAATTGACAGAATAAAAACTTTTTATGGGAAATCTATCTGTGAAGTCTGCTTGAATAAAAGACTAGTTTTGCAAACTTTAAGTAGTTTGTTTTATCGTGAAGTCTACCCCTGAAATCTATTAATGTTGTATTAGGCTTCATTCAAAGTCTAATACTGGGTTAGACTTCATTTCGAAGCCTAATTCTTGATAGACTTCACCAAGAAGTCTAATAGTCAACGTTTGTCGGAGTAGACTTCACGATGAAGTCTATTTTCCTAAATTCAAAAATTGATCAATTGCAAAACTAATCCCTATGAAGTCTAATTGTTGTTGTAGACTTCACCGATAGACTTCATTATGTAGTTAGACTTCACCGATAGACTTCATTCTGTAGTTAGACTTCATTTTTAAGCCTATTCACGATAATGAAGTCTATTTGTAAAAGTCAAAGCTTGGTCAATTGCAAAACTAGTCTTTTTTTTTCGGTAGACTTCACGTGTAGACTTCATAAAAAATTGTCATTTGAAAAATTGCAAAACTAGTCTATTAGACTTCACAAGTAAGTATACTAAATAGACTTCCTCGTGAAGTCTACTATTTAATTTTTATTTGAAAACGCTTTTTTGGTAAATATATAAGGAATTTTTAAGATTTCTTGAAACAATTAGTTGATTTAATCTGATTAGTTGCTTGTGTGTTAGTTTGACATGCTTATTCGTTGTATATCGTGAAAACGGTTTTCTTGTGAAATTTGAATATTAGACAATACTAGGTAGACTTCTAGGTGAAGTCTACCATAAAGTCTATCAATGAAGTCTAATGCGGTTGTTTTTGTTTACTTGCAGGAAATGGTTTACATTGCATCTGTTTATGGAGAATGGGTGATAAAGGACAATTTGTCTTGGCATTTTGAGGTTGATTATCGGAAAGGAGGTAGAATGTTCTCGTTGAGGGATGGATGTACACATGATGAGCTCATTCAAATGGCTTTAGAGGATTATTCGCTAACCAAGATCGGACACCGTTTGGAAATATCATATCCATTACCAGAAGTGTTCACTCAGCAAACGTGTAATGATTCTCCGCCCATGTTTGTCACAAACGACAGACAAGTCGAAAGCTTGATCGAGCTAAGTAGAAATCATGGTGTACGACTTTGTGTCTCTAGCAAAGGGAAGGATGAAGACAACGTAGATGGACCTTTGGATGAAGACTTAGATGAAAATCTGGATGATGAGTTGAAGGAAGAGTTCGATGAAGAGTTGGATGAAGATTGGAGCGCAGAACGAGAAGAAGTGTCTGAAGAGTCGGGTTGTGATGAGGATGATGTAAGGGAAAAAGCTTATGAAGGCGATGATGACACACACGCGGACTACAGTCAGTATGGGAAAATTAAAGATGAAGACGTTGTCATTGATGTTCCTTTCGATGATCCCCGCCTTTTAGGGCGTGGTGTGGGTCATCGTATAGGAATTGATAATTGGGAAGACAATATTTACGAGCACCAGAGCTTTGATACCAAGGCCCAACTTATCTCTGAGTTGCGTTTGACCGCGGTGATGACAAGATTCTCATTCAGGATAGCTGCGTCTACAAGAAAAGTGTTTGTGGCCAAATGCAAAGTCGCTGGATGCAAATGGAGGCTTAGAGCGGCCGTAAAGAACGAACCCTCCACGTTTTGGGTGACAAAGTACGTGAAGTCGCATACATGTTCTGTTTCTGATCGAGTACGTAACCATAAACGTTGTACAACGAAGTATATTGGAAAGCTTTTTCTTGATCGGACAGGGCTCATTGAAGGAATTGTGCCGCAACACATAAGAGACTCTATGAGGAGGATGTTTGGAATGAAGCTCGACTATACGGCTTCATATAGAGCTTTGAAACATGCCCAAGACTTGGTGTGGGGAACAGCTGAAGAAGGATACGCGAATCTGCCTTCTTACTTGCAAAGAATCAAGGATGCAAATCCGGGAACTGTGACTGACCTTGTCTGTGACTCACAGGACCGTTTTAAGTACTGCTTTCTATCACTCGCCGGTTCTATATCTGGTTTTCAGTATTTGAGGAGAGTGATTGTGGTTGATGGGACTCATCTTACTGGGAAATACGGAGGAGCTCTACTCGTGGCTGCCGGACAAGACGCCAACTTTCAAATATTCCCGCTAGCTTTCGCAGTGGTCGATGCTGAGGATAGTGAATCATGGGAATGGTTTTTCAACAAGCTTAGAGATTGTTTCAGGCAATTTCCGCCAATGGCGATAGTCTCTGACCGTGCCGCTGCCATAGCTAGAGCCATTGGAATCGTTATGCCCTGGGCATCAAGAGGAATATGCTACTATCACCTCCAAGGTAATATAGTAAAGGACTTCCACGCAAAGGAGATAATGTATATGGTTAAAGGTGCAGCCTACGCCCATACGGTGCCTGAATACGACCGTTACATGGACCTCATAAGAGCTGCGAACCCTGCCCTAGCTACTTACTTAGAGACCGCAGATCCGAAGTTATGGTCGAGAGTTCATTTTGAAGGTGATAGATACAATATAAAGACGAGCAACATCGCAGAATCTATTAACTCGGCTGTCAAGAAAGCAAAAGGATTACCTATTCCTCGTCTTTTGGAGTTTATTAGGGAGAAGCTCGGGAGATGGTTTAGCAAGAGGCGGGAGGATGCACTGAGTCTCACAACCAGACACAGCAGAGGTGTTGAGTACATATTGGCCATACGGTCTTACTATGCGGGAAGTATGATCGTAGATCGCATAGACGCTTGGCGCTTTCATGTTAAAGGCGGGAGACGAGATTGTAATGTCGACTTGGAGAATCGAACATGCTCGTGCGGTGTGTATAACGTTGAAAAAATCCCTTGCTCTCATGTTATTGCAGCTGCAGCCGAAGCTAACGTCGACATGTCCTATTACGTATGCGCCACTCATTCGACGCCTTCCTTGTTCTCAACATATGCACATCCGATTTACCCCAAAGAGGGAACTGACTCCCACGTGAAGCCTGTTCGCTGTTTGCCTCCAGGGGAGAGTGTCCCTTCTGGAAGGCCGAAGAAGTCGAGGTGGCAAACTTGGCTAGAGATGTCTAGGAAGAAAAACACAAAACCGAGGAAAACGCATAAGAAGTACAGCTGCTCTAAGTGCAAGGAACCTGGTCATACTCGCCCCAATTGTGTAAGTTTATAAAGCTGTCCCTTCATGCTTTGCATCCACATTGAGAGGAGCTGACATCTTTCATTTTCTGCACTACACAGGTCGCTGAAGACTGACTTGTGATTTTAGTTGTTCGTGAAGTCTGCCGACGAAGTCTATCTGAAAGTCTATCTATGAAGTTTATTGTGAGTCTGGCCAATTTGTATGATTTGTGCGTGTTTTAGGTGGATGAAACGGAGAAAAACACTGGTTTTTAGTTTTCGTGAAGTCTGACACAGAAGTCTATATGAAGTCTATCTATGAAGTTTACTTTGCGGCCAATTTGTATGATTTGTTCGTGTTTTAGGTGGATGAAACGGAGAAAAACACTGGTTTTTAGTTTTCGTGAAGTCTGACACAGAAGTCTATCTATTAAGTCTATCTATTAAGTTTACTTTGCGGCCAATTTGTATGTTTTGTTCGTGTTTTAGGTGGATGAAACGGAGAAAAACACTGGTTTTTAGTTTTTCGTGAAGTCTGACACAGAAGTCTATTAAGTCTATCTATTAAGTTTACTTTGTGGCCAATTTGTAGGAAAGTATACGAATTCAATAATACAAAACATAGGCTTCTGAAATACAATTTGAGGAAATATAGACAATATACCAAGTGCACAATATACCAAAACAATAGACTTCTGAAATGTGAAGGCCGATCAGCGATAGATTACAAAAGAATAATTAGCCTACACCCATCATCGGGTTCTAAAGAGCATTAGTTTACGGGATTACACCTACACCTTTCATAATCTCTCGTCATACAAATCGACATTGTCCCAATCATCTGGGTCCTCGACCGGTCCACGGCAGTTGATCTCATGGTACATATCAGACGCAATCTGCTCCCTAAACATGGTGATGTTTTTCTGACACAACGTCTTCGGAAATGCGGCATATCCGACTGCCAGGCACTCGATGAACTTGAGGACAAACACGCCACAATCTCCAGCCCCCACTTGCTGCGGCACATCCTTACTCGGACGGCTGTGCGTGTACTTCGCATCGAAGTAGACGCATTTGTCCTCAGCCTGAGCCGCGGAGTGCATAAGATTCGGCATCATCACCGCATAGGGTTCCACCAACAAGTCCATTTCCGCATCATCGAGCCAGTCCACCATACTGTCGTAGATGGTAATGTGCCTTTTGGGTATGGAGACATGCAGCGCGACCCAATGCTTATTCTTGATATTCAATGGAATGAATAAATCATCAACATCATAACCCCATCGCTTATTGCTGGGCTGGCTTTTCGGGAGATTACCAAAGTACCAGTCCAGCGAATTAGGAGGCAGCATTTGACATCTCTGAAACCTGGGCCAGTCCCTTTCCCAAAATTGAGTGATATGGCTGTTAAGGAAGCAGATCCTATCATTTTTAAACAACTCTGGTCGCGTTGCTAGGCGGTGAGTCATCATGGTGGCCCAGGACTTCATATGCTGCAATGGAAACAAAGAATTCGACTATGAGGACTAAATATGAAGTCTATGTCATAAGTCTAACAGTGAAGTCTACTTGTGAAGTATATTTACGAAGTCTAACAATAGAACGTACGCTATCCGATAGCCATTGAAACCCCGTGAGTAAAGTAAACCACCAGTGCCATTCCGGGTAATCGAACTTGTCCGGCTCCGGCTCTGTAGCTGCAGAATAACCCCTGAAACATTGGTAAATTCTCGTAAGCCTCTATAATTTGGTCAAACAACGAAGAGACAAAAGAGTTTAGGGGCTCACGGTAATCCGGAGACGAATGCCCGCATTGGTGTTATCCTTTCCTCGAGAGGTCGAGCAAATGGATTATACCCTAGAGGTTCATTGCCACCGGTTGCTTTCTTAGGTTCAGGTGCTTTCTTAGGTTCAGGTGCTTTCTTCGGATTAGCTGCTTTCTTCGGAGGAGGTGATTTCTTCGGATCTGCTTTCTTCGGATTAGCTGCTTTCTTCGTAATAGCTGCTTTCCTCGGTTTAGAGATGATCTTAAGTGATTTCGGTGGGGAATTGGGTATCTCCGGGGGGTTGTTTAGGATGATCCTTCTAGCGGTGCTGTTTCCTTGGAACTCACCTTTCTGAGTAAACGCCAGCTTCCTTACTCTCTCACTTTTCCCTCTTGCCATAACATTAGCCGCCTTGATCTGCTCTTCCTGTTGCCTTTTCTCTTCGGCTTCCTCAGAATCAGTTGGAATATGTGTCCGGAGCCAAGTGCAATCCGTATCTTCCTGTTAACATTGCTCAAACACAAGAGAGATAGAGAGAGACAAAACAGATAATGAGTCACTAGAAATTTGAACTTTTATTTAAACAGGAGGGAAAGTGTACAACGCAACGCAACACACTACAAACAGAAACATACACACATCACTTGTTCTTTTTCACAGCGACCCTATGACTCCTACGCACATATCTCTTTTCAACTACTTTATCAGAGTTTTTAGATCTACGTGGAGAATGAACGGTACTAACCGTTCCACCAGGCGGAGCCGTCTTCCCTTCACCGGCATCGGACTTATCCGGCTCCTCATCGGACTTCTCCTCATTCTTCTTCTCCAGCTCCTCATTCTTCTTCTCCAGCTCTTCATTGGCCTTCGCAGAATCCTCATTGGACTTCGCAGTATCCTCACTGGACTTCACAGAATCCTGAGCCTGAGGATGCGAAAGCTTCTTGACAATCCTCCCTACCACAGCGACTTGAGCGGTGAGGACCTGAATCTTTTCCTGGGTCTTACTCATCTCCTCGAAGTGTTTTTTGGTGAAGTCTTTAAAAAGCTCCTCAATCTTCGCCTCAAGACCTTTCCAGCCAGCACCAGAGGCCTCCGCAGGTGAACCATCTGAGGTCCGAGCTCTTTTGACACTTATCGCTTCATCATCATCAGCCTCATCAGAGAGACTCCTCTTGCCATGAGACTTCTCTGACTTCACAGACTTCTCGGACTTCACCTTCTTAACCACCGATATCCCTTCTCTAACCCAGTCAGCTGGTTTCCACACCCATCCTCCACCAAATTCCCCAAGCAAGGCCTTGATGATGTTGTCCACCTTCTCGTCATCTATTTCCTTGTCCCAACGTGGGTACACGTCTGCCTTGTCCACCATTACCATGTGATTGAAAAGCACCTGCAAAACTAGGCCTGGGCATAAAAACCGGAACCGAAAAACCCGAACCGAACCGAACCGATATTGATGAAACCGAACCGAACCGAAACCAGCGCAAAACCCGAACGGTTTTTACATTTCTAGACCCGAAAAACCGAAACCGAACCCGAACCGAAACCGAAAACCGAATGGATACCCGAAATATAATTATATATAAATAGTAAGTTATATTTCTTTTTATAATAACCAAATTATCTAAATTATAATTTTATACTGTATATATTAGTTATATTTAGAAGAAAATAACCAAAATATTTGAAATATCCTAAATCTTGTAATAATATTTATTTAAATTCAATTTTTTTTGCAAAATTTAATTTAATTTCATATAAACTATTTTATTTTTTCTATCCGATGTTCCGGAACCCGAAACCGATCCGAACTCGAAAGAAACCGAACCGAACCCGAACCGAACATGAACATATAATGAAAAAAACCGAACGGTTTTTATATCTTTAGAACCGAATAAACCGAAAACCGAAAAACCCGAACCGAACCGAACCAAAAAACCGAACGCCCAGGGCTATGCAAAACCGTTATCAGAAAAGTCAAGAATTTTTGGATATTATGATTAACAAGGTGGTTGTCCCGCACCTTGTGCGGGTACAATATTTTTTAAATACAATTATTAATTAAAGATTTAAATAATATAAGTAGTACAACTTTTTATTGTATTCATCGTTTTTGTTTTCGCAAACTTCTTATTTTTGTAATCTTGAGGTGTCTTATTTTTATCTTCTCTTTCTTGTTCTTCTACGTAATATTCTTCATTTGTTTTGGAATTTTCTTCACATTCCATTATTTCTTCTTTCCTTTCTTTTTCCTCATGTTCGACTTTTCTTTTTCTTTTCTAAATTTTTCATCTTCTTTTTCACTGTTTTCTTTTCTTTTACTTATGTATCTATTATGTCTTGTTTGTGTCTTGCATATCACCTACCAATTCATTTCGATAGTTAAAATTTTCAATATTTTTGAAATAGATTCTATCTTTATATAGTTGAGGTCTTTTAAAAATTTATTAGTTTTGTTATCTTTCAATTCTGGATTTTCTTTAGTTGTTTTAGTTTTTTTTTCTATTTGTGAATGTAATTTTGAAAGTAGATATAAATTTCAAATAAATGATTTTTTTATTATGAAATTCTTCTGTAATAATTCAAGTTTTTTTAAAATACACCAAAAACTAAACCCTACCCCATCAATATAAACCCTACACCCTAAACCCAAACCCACAGTGTAACACCACCCCCTAAATAACCCAAACCCCACATTGTAACACCACTACCAAATAACAACCCCCTCCCCCCCAATCCGCACACCTAAACCCACATTTTACAAAATCTTTTTAGATAAGTTTATTCAAATTAGGGTTTCATAAGATTTAAGTTGAAAATAAAAACGAAAGATGTACATACCACTAATTTTTGTCAATGCATTTTTTTTGAGTTGGTACCATAGTTGATTTCTTTGACTCAATTAGCTAACAAACCTGGAATTTACTGTTATAAAGGTAAAAGAAGTAGAAGTTAGATGCGATTCTTTGAATAAAATTTCCAGAAAATAACGAATAATCAGTTAAACATTAGATCTAATACAACTAAGATCTAGCAATAACTATAAACCTACATGACAAAAGATGAAATATGGAATCGAAGAATTTAGAACACGAAAAAGAAGAAACGAAATTCTGTTTATTTTGCTTGTTAAATAGGACTAAGTCGGTTGTAAAATCTAGAGTTTTTTTAAAATACCTAATTATTTGATTTCTTCCAGAAAAGTGGTGCGGTAATATGATAGTTAGGATATTTATTTAAGTGATAAATATAAATCGAGGAAAAAAAAAGGATAATTATCAATATTTAATAAGGAAATTAATAAGGAAATAATGAACTTTTATATAAAAAACGAAATTGTGAAATAATTAAAAAAGAAATTCAGAAGATTTAATAATAGATTTTCATTAAGGGCATCTTGGTAATTCCGCGGCTGAGAGTTAACGTGGTGGCTCCATTCACGAAAATTGATTTGCAAATACTAATATGATATGCAGAGAGTACAAGGCAAATGAATTACCTGCTTCTTCATGGTTCCGATAACATATTCTTCCCTCTGATTCCATTGAATGCTAGCAGCGGTGGCTCAGGATTATTTGGCCTCGGATCACCGTTTTCTTCTCCGAACCTCGACATAGCATAGTACGCCCACACTTGCACGACTTCAGCAAAGCCTTCGAGGCTGAATGGCTTGGACACGTCTGCTTTCTTTATGGACTTGATGAGGGTCTTGAAAGCTACTCGCCCCTAGGGATAGTTTTCAAACTTCTCCAAGTCCATAACTTGACTAGCCAGTGCTACTCGTGTATGAGTGGAACTTTTGCGAGCATCAATGAAGCCAGCGTATACGGCCAAAAAACCAAGTCTTAGCCTATCCTCTCTTCTCCACTCTCCGGCCCACTGGCACGCTGCTAAGAGTTCGTCAACGCTCGGACCAAGCTTCTCATTCACACCAAGCTTCCGCCAGAAGTCTTTCATCTCGTCTGTGTTAACAGTCTCTGGCTTCGGGAGCGCTTCTTTATACTCGCAGTTAAGCCCGGTGATGTGTTCAAACTCGTTCAGAGAAAATCGCACTGGCTGTACACCCACGGCACTCCATATCTCATACTTCTTCTTGCATGCTACTTGCATAGTGAGCATAGTCTGTGCCACCTTCGATGCCCAATTAAACTCGAGCTTCGTGAACCTGAAGAGGGGTCCCAGCTTAATTCTCAAGCTCATCCCATTCATCTTCAAGTGTGGTGTGCATTTGAGACCACAGTGCAGTGTTCTTGCTATAGTAGACAACACTGCGATCATAATCCGGTTCTTCTCCTTCTGTGAACAACCTCCTAGGAAATGTCACGGCGTCCATACTGAAAACACATTGAAAATATGAGAAATTAGAAGGAGTCTACAATTTTACACGGCATAAATAAAGTCTAAATATGAAGTCTAACTATGATGTCTAACTATGATGTCTAATGATGTCTAACTATGATATCTAACTATGATGTCTATAAATTCTAAAGGTGAAGTCTGTACTTTAAGTCTGCTCTACTCTAGCCAACCGCCGCTAAAGAGCGGCTAACTAAACCCTAACAATAGACTTTTACCTTATTCTTGCGGTTATGAGGGCCAGCAACGGCGGCGGATACTACTAAGAAGCGCAACGACGGCGGATACTATATCCGGCAACGGAGACCTGCCACAGATCTACAATCGATTAGTCCATGGTTTGAAGGGCGTAAGCAGAGAGAAAAAAAGTGAAAGGGAGATAACTAACCGGCGCTGAGAGGAAGAGAATAATTGGTGCGATTTAATAGGTCGTTCGATTCCACAGCGGCAACACGGACAACGGCAACACGGACAGCGGCAACCAACGGTGGCGGAAGGGTTCAAAAGAAGATTCCACTGTGAGTATAACGACAGTAGAGGGAAACAGACACAAATACGTATATCACTGATATATGAATATGACTTACAGAAGTATACTTCGGAGGAGGAAGGGGAAAAGGCGGCGGCGACGATAGTGGGTCTGTCTTTCTTCTTCGACGGCGACGGTGGGCGGAGAGAACATGCAATCGCCTATCCGACAAAGAGAGAGAACGGAACGGACTTGGATTTGTGAAAGTGAAATGTGAAAGTGAAACCCTGATTTTGGGTTTCTCACTTTCGATTAGGGCCGGCTAATTTTGGTTAAACCCAATTACAACAAAAATTATAATTTCCTTGACCGGTTATGTTCAAAAACCGGAATTGATGTACAAAGTCTACTCGTGAAGTCTACAAATTGAACTTTTAATGAGAAATTTATTCGCCCAAAATATTTCGTTTCCCGCCCTAATAATTTCGTTTCCCACTCGTTTTTTGAATAAAAGACTTCATAGCAAAGTCCAACTATGAAGTCTACCGATGAAGTCTGACTTACCCTAAACCCTAAATCGAATTTTTGAGATCAAAGCTATAGAAAACATAAATTATGTATATAGAATCACAATTTACATTATAAACTATAAATTCATTAGCTTTAGATCGTTAAACAAACCACAAACAATTTTTTATGTCAAAATTCTCTAAACCCTAACAATCATACTCATAAACCCTATACATTGTACCTCAAACACTAAGCTTGATGATTGGTTTACTCATGAAACTTATAAACTGATTAATTTCCATGAAAATTTATTTTACATAGATAGGATTTGTCTTCATTTAGATTATTTATAATTTTTTTAAGCCTAAATATTTTTTATAGATTTTAAACTTTAAATTTAAGATTTTGTTATTTGGTAGACTTCTTCAGTAGACTTCACACAATATTTTTTGGATTATACCATAATTTGTATTACCGGTTTTAAATTGATCAATTTATATGCAACTATATTTTTCATGGATAGTACTTGTCTTTGTTTAAATTATGTGTAAATACCTTCATCAAAATATTTTTAACAGATTTCAAACTTTAAATTTACGATTTTGCTATATATTAGACTTCGGGAGTAGACTTCACGCAGTTAATAGGTTACAAACATAATTTCTCTTACTTGAGTTAAATGGAGTCATTTTTATGCAAGTTTATTTTTCTTGGATGCCAAATGTTCTAATCTTACTTATGTATAATTTTGTTTGATCAAAACAATTTCCTATAATTTTATAAATTAAATTTTAGTTGTATTTAGGATTAGACTTCATGATGAAGTCTAATACGCTGTAGACTTCAGGTATAGACTTTAAGCAGGGTAAAACAGACATTGTGACCAGCGTTTTTTTCTTTGTTCATAAGGGCTTGGTTTGTAATTCTACATGCCCAGAAGACTAGTTTTGCTCTAAATGCAATATAGGGTCTACTTTTGCATTTCAAATCAAATTGTGAACTATAATTGGCAATTCGCCCTACATAAACCCTGAAACAACCAACATTTTTTTTTTTTTAATAAATATTAATCAGTTCTAGCGAAGGTCTTAAAAATAAATTAAATAAATAAAATATCAATAACAAATAAATCAGCTCAGCGGAAGCAAATAATAATTAAACAAGTCTAGCAAAATAATGCAAAACAATAAAACAGTAAACATCCTATCATCCCCCTCTTCAGCCTTGATTCCGCGATCACACAAATCTTTTACCTGCAACACATTGGAATGGAGTTGCGTAAGTATTTAATAAATACTTAGTGAGGCAATCACTCTGCCTACGAGCCATTTACGCAATTTACTAGATATTTAATAATATTTATAAACTTCAATAATTATTAAATACCATTTTCCAATTATTAAATAATTTTTAATAATTAAAACTCAATTTCTCAATTATTAAATAATTCTCATAATTAAATAATAATTTTCCATATTTTAAAATAATTAAAATAATTATTTTAAACCAATTAATTAAATAAATATTATTTAATTAATTAAATCCGAATTAAATCTATTTAATTCCATTAAACCAATTAAATTCAATTAAACCAATATAAACCAATTAAATTCAATTGAACCAAGATAAACCAGAATCAAATCAATTAAATTCAATTAAACCAATAAACCAGATTAAACCACACAAACACACAATTCATCACATGAACAACCAAAATATCATAAAAATAACAATTAAAACATAAACTCATCAAGAACAACCACAAACCAAATCTAATCTAGCAAATCACGGACCCACAGTCATGCACTCACCTTGACAATTGATTGAAACTGAAGGAAAAAGGAAGACGATGAACAGTGCCGAATCGCGGATGAACAGTAACCCGTGAACAGTACCGATGAACAGTAACCCGTGAACAGTACCGATGAACAGTGCCGATGAACAGTAAAATTCGAAAATCTCTCCAAAAACTCAACTTTTCTCCTCTACAGCATCTGAACTCGAAAATTCTCCAAAGAGAAGACGGCTGCACTCTTTAAACTTGATTTTAGGGCTTTCTCCACTAAACCGACCCAAACCAATTCACTTAAATTGAACCGACAAAATTCCCAATTTTTATTTTTGGTTTATGGATGTTACAACTCTCCCCACTAAACTGGATTCGTCCTCGAATCCCAACGCAAACGTCACAAAGACCACAAAACCCACCTCGCAAGGCCGCAACACCGGAGATCCTCACTTGATCCCCGAGACAAACGTCATATCTTATGTCATAAACACGTTCCAAGAAAATTTCACTCCTAACTCATCATCCAAACACACCAAACAACTTGTACTGAGGCCCACTTGCACCCAGACAAGTCCACACCGGTCCGCACTGAGGCCCACTTGCACCCAGACGAACCCGAAAACGTCCATACTGAGGCCCACTTGCACCCAGATGAACTAAACTGCTTATACTGAGGCCTACTTGCACCCATATAAGCTACACTCAACTGAGGCCTACTTGCACCCAGAGAGTCTGCCAGAGAACGAAGTCTCCAAAAACATGATGAGTTATTCAGGATCGCAATCCTTAGAGTAAAAATTCCGGAAAATGTCTATAACCATAAGATTAGACCGTCTCACAACCAAAAACTGGTCAAACATGTGTAACATCCGAATACCTTTTCACAACACAAGGCAAAATGAGGAAAAACTGCATCTCATTAAAACTCCAAAATGTATATCGTTACAACGAAAACGAAAATACAATAACACCAAAGCCAAAAATAACAACTGAGGCTACAAAGATGAAATAAGCTCACTCCTCGACCTGCTTGTCGAACCACTTCCTGAACTTCAACTTCATCTTTGCCTCTGGCTCCCAAGTCTCCTCTGTAGAACCACTGCAATCCCACAAAATCCTCAGTAAGGGAATCCTCTTGTTCCTCAGAACCTTTTCCCTCCTCTCTAAAATCCTCACAGGCACTGCCGGCACTGTCAAATCTGGCTGAAGATCCTCTGGAATCCTAGCCACTAACTCCTCTGTAGGGTGAAGACACTTCCTCAGCATCGACACATGAAAAACCTTGTGAAAGGCTTTCATAATCTCAGGCAACTCCAGCCTGTAAGCCAATGGCCCAACTCGCTCCACTACTGGAAACGGACCCATAAATCGCGGACTCAGCTTGTTCTCTGCTATGGATCTGTTAGGACCCCTCAACATAGCCATCTTGAGATAAACTCTATCTCCAACCTGAAACTCAAGCTCTCGTCTGCGTCTATCTGCATAACTCTTCTGCCTATCCTGAGCCTCCTTCATGTTCAGCCTCACAACACGAACCTTCTCTGTCGTCTCCTGAACATAAGTAGCTCCATACATGCTGCGCTCCCCCACTTGGGTCCAGCATAGGGGTGTCCTACATGGCCTCCCATACAAAGCCTCAAATGGAGCCATGCCAATACTCGCCTGAAAGCTGTTGTTGTATGCAAACTCAACTAAGCTCAGGTGATCTGCCCAATGGCCACCCCAATCCAACACACACATCCTCAGCAAATCCTCCAAAGTCTGAATAGTCCTCTCTGACTGACCATCTGTCTGCGGATGATAAGCTGTACTCAGATGCACCTTAGTGCCCATCTCTGCCTGAAACGCCCTCCAAAACTCTGAAGTGAATCTGGGATCACGGTCTGACACAATACTAGCTGGCACTCCATGCAGCCTCACAATCTCTCGCACAAACTTCCTAGCCAAGACAGCAGCTCCATCTGTCTTCTTGATGGCCAAGAAATGTGCACTTAGTCAACCGATCCACAATCACCCAGATAGCATCGAAAGTCCTCGAAACAGGTAGTCCAACCACGAAATCCATCGTAATCCTGTCCCACTTCCACTCTGGAATGGGTAAACTCTGCAAAAGACCACCCGGAACCTGATGCTCTGCCTTCACCAAGGCACAAGTGTTGCACTTCGCAACCCAGTCTGCTACATCCCTCTTCATCCCGACCCAATGATAGTACCTCTTGAGGTCATGGTACATCTTGGTCGCTCCTGGATGAATGGAAAACTTGCTCGCATGAGCCTCTCCCAAAATCTGATGTCTCAACTCCACATCCTTAGGCACACAAACTCGCCCACGAACCAAGATAGTCCCATTCGCAGAGACCTCATACTCAGAACCAGTCACTCTAGTCGCATCCAGCAAACTCTGATCACTCTGCTGAGCAACTCTGATCCTGCTAAGTAGATCCGCCTGATCCACTGCCTCTAAACCCAAAGGCTCCTGCGAAATGGCACACAAACGCAAGGTACTGATCTCGCCAACTAGAGACTCCACATCTCGCTCAACTGCGGAATCATACCTCCGTCTACTCAACGCGTCCGCCACTAGGTTAGCCTTGCCCGGATGGTAGTTAATGCTCACCTGATAATCCGCCAAGAACTCAACCCAGCGCGTCTGTCTCGCGTTCATCATCGGCTGAGTGAAGATATGCTGCAAACTCTTGTGATCCGTGAAGACCTGTACTGTCTCACCTAGCAAGTAAGACCTCCAAATCTTCAACGCGAAGATCACTGCTCCCAACTCTAAGTCATGTGTAGGACGGTTACGCTCACTGCCCTGCCACTGTCTCGAAGCATATGCTATCACTCTGCCCTCCTGCATCAGCACACAACCAAGACCAATGCCTGAAGCATCTGTATACACCATGTAAGGCTTCCCTGGCTCGGGTAACGCCAACACTGGTGTAGTAGTCAACATCTCCTTGAGCTGACTAAAGCTCTCCTCACACTCAGCTGACCAAATAAAAGGGACATCCTTCCCGGTCAACTTCGTCATCGGCTGCGCCATGGTAGCAAACCCCTTGACGAACCTCCTGTAGTATCCTGCCAAACCCAGAAAACTCCTGATCTCGGTGGCACTACTAGGTCTAGGCCAATCTCTGATAGCCTCAATCTTAGCCGGATCCACAGAAACTCCCTCTGCAGAAACAATGTGGCCAAGAAATCCCATCTCTCGCTGCCAGAAACTGCACTTGCTCAACTTAGCAAAAAGCTTCTGCTCCCGAAGCTTCTCCAGAACCAACCTCAAGTGAGTCGCATGCTCCTCCTGACTCCTCGAGTATACCAGAATATCATCAATGAAAATGATGACGAACACGTCCAAATACTCCCTGAACACGTCGTTCATCAATCTCATGAAGGCTGCCGGCGCGTTAGTCAAACCGAAAGGCATAACCACAAACTCAAAATGCCCATAACGCGTCCTGAAAGCAGTCTTCCTGACATCTGCCTCATCTATCGGGATCTGATGATACCCCGATGCCAAGTCAATCTTGGAGAACCAAGTAGCACCCCTCAACTGATCCAACAACTCATCAATCCTCGGGAGTGGGTACCTGTTCTTCACAGTGACTCGGTTAAGACCTCTGTAATCGATACAAAGTCTGAAACTGCCATCCTTCTTCTTCACAAACAACACCGGTGCTCCCCACGGTGAAACACTCGGTCGAATGAACCCCTTAGACAAAAGGTCCTCTATCTGCTTCTTCAGCTCTGCCAACTCAGCTGGCGCCATCCTGTAAGGCGTCTTCGATATCGGTGCTGTCCCCGGCTCTAACTCAATCGTGAAAGGATCAGACCGAGATGGTGGTAATCCCTTCAGTGACTGAAAGACATCCTCAAAATCCTGGACAACCTCAATATCTCCCATAACAACTCCAGCTCCTGACTCAGACATAGAAATCGTCGCCAGATACGCCTCACAGCCCCGCTCTAACAACTGCTCGGCCTGAATAGCAGATATCACAATACTCCCGGAAGTCGGTCTCACTCCCTGATAAACCAACCTCCCTGCATCTCGCTCGAAGACCACTCTACCTCTGTAGCAATCCAGATGAACTCTGTAGTGTGACAACCAGTCCATCCCGAGAATAACGTCATACAGCTCCACCGGACTGATGACTAAGTCTGCTGGCATTGACTGCCCCGCAATCTCGATCTCGACTCCTCTAGCACGGCCCAAAGTAGACAAGAATCCACCTCCCGCCACCTTGACCATGCCCGCGCTCTCGCCCGCGCTACTCCGGATGCCACTCTTCTCGGCACGCTCCGGTGTAATGAAGCAATTCGATGCTCCAGAGTCGAATAAAACGTGGGACTCAAAACCGCCCACTAACAAGGTCATTACACACAATTGCGTTGAGAACCTCCAAAACTATCACAGATAAATGAACAACACACAGCAAAACAACAACATTATGCCCTCGATGGCCGCCACCACAAATGTGCATCTCCACTCAGATAGTGGACTGCCAACTCAACCTGGTACTAAACCAAAATCTGATAGACTGGAAATTCCGCTCCAATCTCTGACGCCACTCATCTGCCGCCTCTGGCTAACTCCGCCCTCAAAGTACGGCGTACCAATCCTCTGCATGTGCCCCATCATATCCAAATAGGCGGCACCATCAAACCCACAGCCTGCGGCTGAACAAACCCGCAGCCCTCTGCACCTCTGCCACTGGAGGTACTCCCGGAGCCCCTGTGGAACCACTGGCGGAAAACGAGCCAATAACTGCGTCAGCAAACCCACCACTAAGTCATCAAGACCCTGAGCCGGAGCACCACCCCAACCCGGAGCAGCCCCCGCTCCCAAACCAACACTCGCATCCACACTGGCCTCACTCGCCACGGATACCGACTGGGTCACCGACGCAGTCGCCACACTAGGCACCACACTCTCTCCCGAATCCGCCGAAGTCCACAATCTCGGCCCCGGCCTCCACGGCCTCTAGCTCTGCCACCACGGCCTCGAGCACCGCGCCCTCTCGCGCCACAACCTCTAGCTACTCAGTCCATCTCACTCATGGAACCAAAAAGAGCACACTAGAACACGCAACCAAAACTCAAAACAAACATAAACTCACCGCGGAATCTCTTGTAGCTGAAGGGGATGATACTAAAGCCTAGCAATTCTAACAGTCCTAAAACCGTCTAGGCTCTGATACCAAAATGAAACAACCAACATTTTTTTTTTTTAATAAATATTAATCAATTCTAGCGAAGGTCTTAAAAATAAATTAAATAAATAAAATATCAATAACAAATAAATCAGCTCAGCGGAAGCAAATAATAATTAAACAAGTCTAGCAAAATAATGCAAAACAATAAAACAGTAAACATCCTATCATCCCCCTCTTCAGCCTTGATTCCGCGATCACACAAATCTTTTACCTGCAACACATTGGAATGGAGTTGCGTAAGTATTTAATAAATACTTAGTGAGGCAATCACTCTGCCTACGAGCCATTTACGCAATTTACTAGATATTTAATAATATTTATAAACTCCAATAATTATTAAATACCATTTTCCAATTATTAAATAATTTTTAATAATTAAAACTCAATTTCTCAATTATTAAATAATTCTCATAATTAAATAATAATTTTCCATATTTTAAAATAATTAAAATAATTATTTTAAACCAATTAATTAAATAAATATTATTTAATTAATTAAATCCGAATTAAATCTATTTAATTCCATTAAACCAATTAAATTCAATTAAACCAATATAAACCAATTAAATTCAATTGAACCAAGATAAACCAGAATCAAATCAATTAAATTCAATTAAACCAATAAACCAGATTAAACCACACAAACACACAATTCATCACATGAACAACCAAAATATCATAAAAATAACAATTAAAACATAAACTCATCAAGAACAACCACAAACCAAATCTAATCTAGCAAATCACGGACCCACAGTCATGCACTCACCTTGACAATTGACTGAAACTGAAGGAAAAAGGAAGGACGATGAACAGTGCCGAATCGCGGATGAACAGTAACCCGTGAACAGTACCGATGAACAGTGCCGATGAACAGTAAAATTCGAAAATCTCTCCAAAAACTCAACTTTTCTCCTCTACAGCATCTGAACTCGAAAATTCTCCAAAGAGAAGACGGCTGCACTCTTTAAACTTGATTTTAGGGCTTTCTCCACTAAACCGACCCAAACCAATTCACTTAAATTGAACCGACAAAATTCCCAATTTTTATTTTTGGTTTATGGATGTTACAAACCCCCTATAAAAAAGATAGCTATTGTAGTCTCTTTTTCTCATTTACAAACTCATCAACGCAAATTCAGAAAATCTCTTTGATTCCCTTTCTCTAATTTTAAAATCATGTCTTTAAAAGTTCAAGAGAACAGTGGAGATTATTTGACTCTAGGTCAATTGGATCGAAATTAAAATTAATTGAATAAAATCTTATTAGTACATTAGGAAAAATCAGAAAACAGAAACAAAAAAATTAAAAAGAAAAAATATTACATCCATTATGAGAAGTAAAGAAAAAACATAATTCTATTACGAAAAGGAAAAAAAACGAAAATCAGAAAAAATGAAGAAATAATTAAAAAATGTTATATCCAATAAGAAAAGGAATAAAAAAACATATTCCCATTACGAAAATGAAAAAAAAAACAATATTTTTTAAGTTTCCTTCTCATTAAGAAATAAAATTCATGTCTTTAAAAGTTAAAATATCAATGAAGAATACTTAACTTTATCGATACATGTGTTTAATATTTGATGAAGTGATGACATGTGTCAACACAAGAAAATTGGAAAAATGTAGTAACATATCAATTAATAAACTAACAAAATAATATTAAAACAACTAACTAATAATGAAAATAAAATTTATAATGGTTAGAGGTAAAAACAAAATTGAAAAAGAAACAATATAAATAGAAAACTAACAAAATAATTATTAAGGAACTAAATAATATTAAAAAAAAAATTATAATGGACTGATCTTCTAATATTAAATAGTTTAATTTTCCATGTTTTGTTAGGTAAAAAATATTAAAAATAAAGATTTCATCATGGAATAATCAAAGTTTCATAAAATAATGAGTCGATTAGATTTAGACACATGTAAATCTTTCTATTTCATATCATGAATTCAAAATAAAAATGTAAAAGGCTACATATCTTTATTTAGAGATTTGTTATCGGGTTTTTAATATTCTTTTTAATTTTGTTTTAAAAAAATAAACCCGCATATACGCGGGCCTAATCTATATTTTTTAATGTTTCTAATCTCTGCAAGTTGTTAAACACATTAGCTGAACTGAAGGTGAGAAGCTGTTGAAACCCTAGGAATATCTTATATAGTTTTAAGTTTTGGAGATTTGTTATTTGTTGAAGGGTATTGACTTTATTTAGGCCTAAAAGCCTGACCAATAATTTTGGATCATATGCACACTTACTTGAAGATCACGCTTCCTTATAATTTGTCCTATTTCTTGTGTAACATTGTTAAAATCTCCTATTGTGCGTGTGTGTGTGTGTGCCGGAATGAAGAACACGGGATTGGAAAGAGCAGAGAAGTCAATGAAGGAGCAGAGAAAGTCCGCGAGTCCACGCGTACTGAGTCAACTCGTCCGGTCGACTTTGGATTTGACATTTGGAAAAAAAAAAAGCAAAAAAATTGTTTAATGTCTTTTTTTGTTTCTTATGTTTAGTTAGGAGCAAATAATGAGAAACTCAAAATCAAGAAGTTAGTAAGACGACAGAATCAAGAGCACTTCTTCACACTTCACATTATAAATCAACAGTAAAACATGAGATTCTCAACATTATTAAACTCGAGAAACAGAAGAAAGATTCATGGATCCTCCTCCATTAGTTTCAGATGATCTCTCAGTGTACAGCCGCCTTCCTCTGTAAGCTGCAAGGTGAGCATAATAAGCCCGTGGCACAACAGAAACAGGTTTCGTGCACCTCACGGAAGTGTAACACAAGTTATACACAAGTCTCTGCAGCTCATCCGAAGTAAACTCGTTCTCGTCCCACACAAGATGTGATATGATAATGCGTTGGCCTGCTCGTGCCCTTCACTCCGAAATGGCTACAGAGATAGAAACCAAACTCTTTCGGGTGTGTTATCACCGAGTCAACCACTGTTCCAGCCATGGTCAGGATCGCACCGGAACAGCCTCGTGTCGTGTGGTGTCTTTTATGGACCACGGCGAAAGCGATGCTCGGATTGTAACCTTGAGAAGGTATCGACTTGCAGAGCTCCGTCATGGATCCGCAAATCGTGGCGTTTATCTTGAGAGCCAAGTTTGAAACAAAATAAAATCAAAACTAATATTCGAATATAACTTTCACTTATATCCTAGGCACAACTATTATTATTTACTTTTTGGAATTGTTAACAGTGTGGGTTTATATACTTTTGTTGACAGAGAGGCAGTGTAAGGAACAAGCTGCTTACACATCAATCCTCTCCAAAAGATGGAGGAATCTGTTTGCGCCAATGATTCACTTTGCAACTCAAATCCAGTTCGACGATAAAGATTTGCTTTATCGCAACAAGGGTAAGGGAAAACAACAGAGGGCTAATAGATGATAAGAAAAAGAAAATATATACAAGTCAGAACCCTAGTTTTTCTTTGTTTACTTCAAATTTGTCCACGTTGGTTGAATAATGAAGAAGGTTGAATCTAGGTCAAGAGATGTTCTCAGCTCCCTTCCAGATGATTTACTTGCACAAATCTCTTATCCTTGCTCCCCACGAAACAAGCTGCTTACACATCAGTCCTCTCCAAAAGATGGAGGAATCTGTTTGCCCTAATGATTCGCGTTGCAACTCAAATATTATATATGTCCATTTTATTGCTCAGAATGGACATAATATTGCATACATCACACTTATACCCGTGGTGGGTATTGCTCAGAATCTGACCAGTTTTGTCACCCAACCATCAAGAGAATCACAATTCAAGCAATGAAAGGTTCTACCAGAATATCTAGTTTGGGATTCAACCAGTGCCGCTTTATTAGATAATTTAAATTAAAAAAATGAAAAATTAAAGCAAGAATATGAGAGGAGTTAGGGTCGAACTCAGGTAATGTACCTTGTATAGAACTACTGAAACCACTACGATACTATAAGACTTTGTTAATTGGGGGCCCTTTATAAATATATATATATATGTTGGGGGTCCAGTACAAATGCACTTTTCAATATACTATAGTCACGGCTCTGGATTCAACACACCACGATTAAAGCTGCTTACACATCAACCCTCTCCAAAAGATGAAGGAATCTGTTTGCGCTAATGATTCACTTTGCAACTCAAATCCAGTTCGACGATAAAGATTTGCTTTATCGCAACAAGGGTAAGGGAAAAAAACAGAGGGCTCGAGAGAGTTTTAGGTCTTTCGTTGACACAACACTACTGTCTCGTAACTTGAATAACACGTTAAAGAAACTCTCATTGACATGTGAAGATGATGTTGACCACTTCAAGACTCATACAAACCGATGGATAACGGATGCCTTAGAAGGAGGCGTATCGGATCTTGATCTGCGCATCACCATGCTTTCTGGAGAGCGACTACAAGCACGTCTTCTTCCTTCCACTGTCTTAAAACCGGTTTGACTATGTGTGACTTTTGTCTTCTCTATGGTTTATGTCTTCCCTCTCACTATGACCCCAATTTCTCAAATCACCTAACTTCTCTCATTTGACTGCATTGTTGCTACAACTTTGTTCCTGCAATACATTATAGGTTCCCTCTCACCATGACCCCAATTTTGTCACACCAAAAAAAAATAAACCGAATTGACTTTTTTTATATACCTTGACGGCTAAACGAAAAGAATTGGCCATCTTTTGCAAAATCTTACTCAATGAATCGTCTTAACACCATAATCACGAGAACATATCAGAACATATATACAACCTTTTATTAACATTTTTTTTTGTTGAAATAAAAGTTTCGTTTGCTGACATGGCATAATATAAAAGCTTATGCAAAATTTTCAAATTAGACGGGAAAAGTTATACATTCGCTCGATGTAGCTTTCTCTCAAGAAAGATGATATTTTTTTTTTTTTAAAACAAAATATATAAATTATATACGTTACCTAAACTTGTAAGGCTAAACTTGGCTTCCCCTATAGGCTAATCAAGTTTACTCGTCTAGAAGTCCTCAGCATTTTTTATAGGATAAAAGTAAAACTATAAAAATTACCAATTGAACAAAAGGTGAGATGCTGTCGAAACCCTAGGAATATCTTTCAACTCTTCCATGATCAACTTTTGCTCTTCAAGATCGATGGTGCTTCTTAGAGAGATTGTCACCGTCTTTAAACGCTTAGAGTTAGCTAAAATGTACGTCAGGAATTCTTTCTCTTCGACTCTATCCCCATAATCTCTCCACTCCAATATTTCGAGCTCTGACGGCAAGCACTTGGGAACTGGACTCGGTTGGTTCCATGAAAATGAGAGATCCTCGGGCTCATAGGTATATTGCTGAGAAGCAACGAGAGATATACGTTTAGCAAAATTTGACTAGTATTTTAGTACATCAGCGACGCTAGAAGAGGAGGATGTATACGTACAGAATCTACCAAAAACTCTTTTAGTTGAGGAGCATTCCCAAGTAAATGTACGAGTGGTGTCAACCAGTCTGGCCTAGATGGACATATTCTTAACTTTACAAGACGAGATAAGTTGATGTTGCCACAACGCATAACCTGCGACGAGAACAAACACAATTAATTATATGACGTAATTAAGTTGATGCAACAATGAAATCACAACGAACACGATAAGACCTTTAAACAAAACAAAAAAAACAAACAAGATAAGACATCATACAAAACTAGAGAGCTACCATTGTATCAGACAAGAACAAACGAATCGCCAAGACCGAAGAAAGGGAAGTTAAAAATTTGTCATCAGGATAAGACTCGATATCGATGTTTGCATCCTCGAGAAAGGGCATATCCTCGATCGAGCAAGAGTCTCCCGAAACATCAAAGATATGTAAGGTCGTCATTGCAGGAGCATCTACAACCAAATAACCATCATCCTCGCCAGACAAACTATTAGAATACCACAAGTCCCATAAGGAAGGCACTTTCACTGTGAACTTTTTCACATTGTCATCATTCGCTCGTGTCACGTTCAAAATCTCGAGAACGGGGCAGCTTGAAAACAACCTAACGAGAGAATCCTCGTTTTTGTACACCACACAGTCTAGGTCAAGCTCTCTAAGAGATGGGAGACAAGCGGAAAGAGGAACATCCACGAGAATCTGGTGAGAGAGAGTCAGGTCTACAAGAGTTTGGCATGAGTAAAGGCTCTTTGGCAACCTTGTTGGTTCTGCGGACCATAGGAGCTTGAAATTTAGCTTATGTACCAAAAGATCAACAGCTTTAGCAACCCACTTTCCGATATCAGCATCAATAGGGCACCGTGGACCCAGTTCCATGCACAAGCTGTCTATTACAGGTGCGTTATGGAGTTGCAATGATTTGTTAAGAAACCACCAAACGCTCTTCTTGTTTTCATCACTATCATCATCCTTCTCCTCCATGTCTTTGTATTCAAGTATAGTTACCTTTGGCCAAACAGAGAGCCACCGTTTCGACAAAAAACATGGTGGCCGCTGCGTCTTTTGTCGGGACAAGAGACAATATTGATACGAGCAAATCTTCGGGCATCTCACTAATCAGGTCTTCGCAAACTATCTCTTCACTGTTAGCTTCTGGCATCTTCACTTGTGTTGAAGGCAATAAAATGCGATCATTCTAGGGTTTTTTTAACCACATCAACTAGCATGAAATATTCTATTTCACCAAAAAAAAAAAAACTAGCATGAAATATTCTGTCTTTGGGTCAAACGGGTCAGGAATTCGGGTCAAGAAATCTAGTTGGGCCAAGTGTTATACAAAGAAAAGAAGATAAAAGTGTGTTGGCCCAAACGTAACTAGAAGCCCATTTAACAGGTTTCGTTTGGAGTTTGTTACATCAGAGTTTAACAGCTTTCAAAAACAGAGGAAGAGCTCTATGGACATTAATTGGTTTGCTCGATTTGGCCCTAAGGAAGTGCAATACCTATATCCGTCTAGTTTTATCAGTTGATCTAACTTTGTATGATGAGATCATAACTGGAGTAAACCGGTGAAAAATGAAGCGTAAACTAAACTGAAGGAAGAAGAGATGTTGCCTTGTGTTCTACGATTAGTGCATTTTAGGGTCCACTTTTTTTTTTTTTTTTTTTTTGGGTTTCCTAAGGATGTATTATAGTTCAAGATTGATGTTTTTGTTTTTGAATACATTGTAGCTAACTCTAAGCGTTTAAAGAACGTGACAACTTTTTAAGACCCACCACCGATCTTGAAGAGCAAGAATTGATCATCCATAAGTTGAAAGAGATCCCTAGGGTTTCACCAGCATCTACGCCTCTGCTTTTGCTCTCGTATCTATCAAAAAAAACCTTTTTAAATTTTGATTATTTTTCAAAAAAATATTTCATCTTTCTTGAGCGAATGTATAACTTTTTCCGTCTAATTTGAAAATTTTCATATGCTTTTATATTATGCCATGTCAGCAATCAAAACTTTTATCTCAAAAAAAAAATTGTTAATAAAAGGTTGTATATGTTCTGATATGTTGTTTTTGTGATTATGGTGTTAAGTCATTGAGTAAGATTTTGCTAAAGATGGCCAAATTCCTTTCGTTTAGCCGTCAAGGTAGAGAGTCTCAAGGTATATAAGAAAGTCAAAAGTCAATTCGGTTTATCTTTTTTTGGTGTGACAAAATTGGGGTCATAGTGAGAGGGAACCTATTATGTATTGCAGGAACAAAGTTGTAGCAACAAATGCAATCAAATGAGAGAAAATTACAGCCAGAGAATGGCAAAGCTTTGTGAGAATGGTTGAAGAAAAATGCTAATCAATTCCCACCAATAATCCATTACAAAACATGTCACTACATAAAGATTATACATGTCACTTATACATAAACGATAAACCATAGAGAAGACAAAAGTCACACATAGCCAAACCGGTTTTAAGATCAGCGACGATCAAAACCACACCGCAAGATGATGATAAACATAATTAGTACCTATAATCATCATCAAAGATCATGTAATTATTGCTTCCTCTTCCTCCTCCTCCTCCCCTTCCCCTTTCATAACTATCCTTCTACATCACCAAAAACAAACATTCATCAAATCCATACACACCAATGTGTAATGTGTACATTTATTTGTAAAATGTGAATGTAAACTTACCCTGACGATCATTCTCTCAAAAGCCTCGGTGCCATGATGCTCCATGTACTTCTCAGCAGCGGTGAGGATGTCGTCTTCATCACGTTTGGGGAAGAAATTGAATTTCTTCTGAGGAACGTACCAGATGTTTGTGGTGGCTCTTTGAGGGTTCATGTAGAATGGTCTAATGAAATGTCTATAGACATGCTCTGCTCCGTTGAACTGTGGTAGCACTAGCCAGCATATCGCGATCAGCTTCAAGAACGGCCATATCGGAAACCTTTTTTCATGTATTAGCAGAAACAAGATTTGATTTTTATTTATTTTTGTATGACAAGCGCTTATTATATGATATAAATAAAGTAATTAAAACTAACCATTCAAGAAGTTTGTTGAAAATGAGTTCGAAGAGGGAGATGATTGCGTAGAGAACCCAATAGGTGAGCCATTGCTCAGCTTCTGCTAATGATTTTCTCTCTATTGCTTTCACTGATGCATATCTGTTCATTTTTCTCAAACATAATTAAATAAATTATTCTAACACATAACGTCATAATCTAATCTTCTCCTTTTTTGTATGTAATTAATAGTTGAATACTACAAAAAAGCATATGCCTCGTGTCTTGGATTCTAAGTGGGTTTGTGTGGAAATAAGTGCATCTGAGAAAAGATTCATTTTTTAATCTTTATTGACAGAAGTTTTAAAATTTCAAAGGATGAGTCTTTGTTTCCCAACAATGTTCATATAAATCTGAACTAAAGATTAGCTTAAAAACTGGCTAATCTAATCTTTTAATTACCCATATTAACACAAACAATTATATGAAGAGAGATTTCACTTACAGAGGGTAGACGAGAGCAACCAATGGGCTGCAGAAGCAAAAAAAAAAAAAATCACAGTAAGTTTGAAGTTTCAATTTTTTTCACAAACAAAACTCTATAATTAAGTAAAATCTATAGAAAAGTAGAGACAATGTAGCTAAACTCAGTATAAATAAATCTAAGGATCTGACTAACAAGAAAAAATAGAAATGAGATAGGATCTGAATTAAAGAAGAGGGAGAGAGAGAGAAATACAGAGCAAGAACATCGAAGTTCTTGAAGAGAACTTGAAGAACATTATCATCTCCAGAATTAGAAGGCATTACTCCTCTCCTTCAGTTTCTTTCTTCTCCTCAAGCCTTCCAATAATTTCTAAAGCTTTCTCCTTTTTATTTTTCCTCTCTTTTTCTCAAGTCGGAAAACAAAAGTGGATGCCAGGTTTTACCTTGGACTTTTATGACCACTCACTCCTTTCGTTTTTATTTATTTTTTACTTTTCAAAGAAAAGAAAAATGGGGGAAAAAGGTTAAAAAATGATGTTTACACGACGAAAGAGGCACCGAAATTGTGCCAATTATTATAGACAAAAAAATAGTTTTGTTTGTATAAAAAAAGAATATTATTACTTCAGCGAAATTTTAGCTTATGTAGCTACAATTTCGAGTACCCTGTGAAATTAATTCGAAAAAATGGTTTATTTTATTTTTATTCACCTATCATATTAGTATTTGCGAATCAATTTTCGTGAATGGAATCACCACGTTAACTCTCAGCCGCAGAATTACCGAGATGTTCTTAATGAAAATCTTTCAATTAAATCTTCGAATTTTTCTTTTTTTATTAAAAACGAAATTGATTATTGACTTTTAATATTTTTAGATAAATATGTTAACTACCATATCCCCGCCTTATTTTTGGCAGATATTATAAATTTTAGGAAGATAAATATTAAGTAAACCCTAAGATTTTTAACTCGCCATGTATTATATAAATAGATACGAACTTGGACAAACAACCTAATTCTCATTACGATTTGCAATTTGTCTTTCAATATGTAATTTTATTTCTTATATCTCATATTTCTTCTTTAACGTAATGCTAATATATATATATATATACATGTCAAACCCTGTACTATCTAATATACAAAACCGCCACGTTTTTTCTTCTTTGCCAACACGTTCCATACGAATCATAACAAGCACGATATATAGTTCTCTCTTCGATTACAATATTTGTGTTCTTCTCGGCTAGAGGTAACCGAATCTTCTTGGATTATCAATGGAGAAGTCTATAATAGGTCATCTCCTAATAGCTATTTTAATAGTAGGTATATCAGCACCTATCCGAGTCTCTAGCTAATAGCCTAATAGGTCACGAATCAAACCAGAGTTTTTCGATCAGCTTCTTCTTTCTTTCTATATCATCTGTTCAGCTCCTTGGTATGTATGGTTTTCCATGTCTTCAATAATTACTTACGTGTTTAGTTTTCATTGACTTTCTAGAGTTAATAATGTTATCGAGTTTCTTTTTAATAGCATCATGTAACAATTTAAAGGTCTTATCATGTAGGACTCAGCCACGATAAGCTGCTTGATTTTTTTTTTTTCCAATCATACTTTCAAGTCTTAGTGATTGCATTCTATTCGTTTTGCACTTTTCAAAGTGTTTTGAGAAATTATGAAATTGTATAACCCTTGGAAGAAAAAAGATCTTTTAGAGGAATTGAGTTTGTTCATGCAGAAGCTGATTGATATATGATGACCATTATGGTCTACTCAATTATTTCCAATATTTGATTACGGATCCTTGAAATTGACATGTAGAGTTCCTGCCTCCCCTTTATGTATGTGATACAAGCTTCTAAAATAGCATTAAATGCATCATACCACAGACTGATTTTCACATATCCAATAATGCTAAACCCCGAACATCTGATCACCAAAAACCTCTTTTTTGGTTCTCTCCAGACACTGGAATCTACACCAGCAAATTTCCCTCCTTACACCTCCCCGTCAGGCTGAGGGTTTCATTATACGGCATTACTATAAAGAATTAAGAGTAAAAATATGAGTAAATAGACTCTATAAAATACGTGGTAGTTAAGTTTATGTTAACGGGTTTCTTTACTGCTATTAGGTCTAATTTGGGGTAGTTATTGTAGGAGAAGGGTTTAGACGATAGAGTTTATATTGGTGGGTGTAGGGTTTAGTGTTTTGTGTGTTTGGGTTGTTTAGGGGATGGTGTTATACTGTAGGGTTTGGGTTTAGGGTGTAGGATTTATATTAATGGATGTAGGATTTAGTTTTTGGTGCATTTGAAAAACTTAAATTATTATAGAAGAATTTCATTATAAAAAATTATTTATTATAAAAAGTTATACTATTTATCTTATTAAAACCTTTAATTAATTAATGTATTTTAAAAATATTGTACCCGCACAAGGTGCAGGACAACCACCTTGTTTAGACATTAATTAATAACTGTATTTGACATATTTGGACATTAATATATAACTATATCAAATATCTAAAAGATATCTGAATTAATGAGGAAAGTGAGATATATTTGAATAGCAGATGTAAATATTGAATCTCCTAGTATTCTCATAAATGGGCCTTACAAAGCCTATATTGTATATAGCCCATAGAAATTAATGAGGCTAGAAGAATTATATTCAAACTAGGCCTAATCGAAATAAGATTCATCTAATCATGCCTTTTTATATCATAAAAATGAAAAGGTTTTAAACAAAAAGACTTGTATTCAAAATTAATGTATTAATAATTAAATTATATTTATTAATGCACTATTATGTATAGTGATTGTAATGCAGACGAAGAATAATTGTATTAGCGAAGTCTGATTAAACAAAATTAATAGAGAAGCAAGTGATGGAATGATGATCATCTAATCTTTTCCAGATCAAAAACAAGAAACCACATGAATACACTCTTCGATACATGAGCATATCACATATATGTAACTACGTAGATCCAAAGATCTATATTTTAAACATACTTTAGTGACATTTTGATTTCTTTTCGACCAATTGGGTAATGCCAGTTTACTACTAGCTACTTGTGCCCTTTCCCTTTTTTTTTGCAGATTGCTTTTTTTTATAAAATAAAACGCCGACATAAAAACATTGGATCGGTCACGACTCGTATCTTATTGTTTATCTAAAAGTAATACGTAAACAATAATATGCAGATATCAAAGATGATTCATGAGATCGATCGATCATCGTTTTTTTTTCTATTATAACCGTGAAGTCTAGTTTAGCCTATTGATATGTTATTGACATCAAATTAATCACATTCTTCTACAAATGCTCACTGAGTCACTATGAGAAATACGCTGTTCTTGACATAATCTTTGTTTTCCTTAATCTAACAAACGATTTTTTTTCTTTTCAATAAAGGCTGACTAACGGATCAATTCATTAAGATATATAACATAATCATGAGTTATATATCCGACAAGCCTATATATGATTTCAAGGAATGGTTCGCACTTCGCACCGATCTATAGAAGTTTCATGTATTATTTTCATGATGAAAACAAATATTATATTTATATTGTTTTATATAGAACTAATAGTTTATTTCTATCATCAGATTAACTGTATATTTGAGTATGTGTGTGTATTATTTTGTATTTGCAAACGTCCCAATTCCCATGCTCGTTGATATCTCTAATATAATGATATACAACTTAGGTCTACGCATTCGGTTCTTGTATATAGTACATACCCATGCATGGCAATACCGAATATATACATAATAATAATTAAACCAATCCAATAATATAGACCGACACAAGATGCAGCGATATGGTACGCATGTTACATATACAACTTATGTATTTTGTTGTTTCCTGGTTGATTTTACATCATGATCATGGTATCCTTACAATTTAAGTTTCATCCATCAAGTAAAAAACTTTAGAAATAGAGAAGCTGGAGTGGAATCTATAACCATGCAGTCGCAGGTATACATACCTCAATAAAAAAATTCGTTCTAGAAATTGTTTTCTGTTTTTCAGCAGAGAATGACATATTCTTGGGTGTCCAAGAACTTACAGATTTGGACTTATGTACATTTCCATATAACAATGGATCTATAAATTGTATAACACGATTCATCAAATGTAGTATCAGGCTATATATTAAGTTCCGACCATATGAATCTATATATGTTTTTTGGTAATTTTACTTCTTGTATATTACGTTTCTCCGCGCTGGACTATAGATATAGACCGTTCACAAAAATAATTGCCTTCAAAATTTTGCAATCAATTAATCGTACCCAAACCCTGCTCACATAATGACCTACTGGCATTAATATGGCATCATATCTACATACATCCCCTCGTCAGTCGTCAACACACTTAGTACATTTTAATGCTTTGAACCATATGGTTTTATTACAATATATATTTAACAAGATCATAATTAGTATATTTACTATCAAACAACCATCTATAGACCAGTCAAGACTGACCATGACAGGATGTGATTCACACGGGAAAAATAGTAGATTATATATAGATAAAAACAAGAATAAGCGCATAATGCATATGTACCTCTTTGAGACAATGTGGTCGCAGGAATCAAACCATGAACGAAGATAATTGAATACTAATTTGGCATGAGAAATGTTTTATTGATTAGCAGTAATGACTTATACATATATAAAAATTGTTCAAAAACCCTAATCAAGTAGCGTGTCTCATTATAAAACTCTAACACTCAATAGTATAGAGAAAAACACTTTCACAAGACAAATACTACTTGAGGCCAAAACCTCTACAGAAAACAAAACCAAAGCCTGGTTGCAAAATTGACATACTAAAATATATCGAATACTCACGTTCTTACTTACTTAATACATTTATCAGAAGAAGAATGAAACCCGATCAAAGCTCGTGGAATATTAGAATTTTGAAAGAAAGAAAAAATATATGAAAAAAAAGAGGCAATGCAAAAAAAAAAAAAAAAAAAAACACGCTTGTTAAAAAACAAACAATCAAACGAAAGGACAAAAATGAAAATAAAAAATAAATCTCACAGATATATGTTTGTGTGTGTTTTGCCTAGGAATGATGACTTGTGCTTCCGTCCTCTTGATGATGGTTGTGATGATGTTCTCCGTCACGGTTTTGTTGGTTCGCCGTCTCTTGAACCGGCCGGTAAGCAGCGTTTAACGCCGCTAAAACTCCGTAATGGTTATGTTCTCCGCTTCCTCCTCCTCCGTAACCAGGCGCCAAAGGCTGTCCGGAAAACAAAGCAATCGGAGCTGCAAAGTTCATCAGATGGACTCCTCCTCCTCCTCCTGCTCCTCCTCCTACTCCGGCGGGGCCACCAGCACCACCGCTCGTGTTGTAAACGTCACCGGAATGATGAGGATTGATATTAAAAGCCCAAAGATTCTGAGTGTTATCACCACTACTCCAAAACGGCGCCGTAGTAGGAGTTTGGCTCGTAGGTAAAGATCCAGCCGTTGATTGTACAAGATAATTCCCCATTTGGTTGTGATCTAAGAGCTGTGAAGAAGAAGAAGAATGCGACTCGTTCTTGGGACGCACCTGATGTTGCTGTTGCTGATGATGATGATGATGAGCCATGGAAGGCGAATGAAAGTAGTAGCTGCTCGGAGTCGTACGAAGATGAGCAGCAGAGAGAGAGGATCTTGAGCTACGAAGTGAGATATTAAGAGAAGTGAAGTTAGCCGGAATGGTTCCAGTCCCTGTAGCGGCTATAACCGCCGGCTCAGCTTGCTGGAGAAGCCACTCGATGGTTTCGCCGTCGGATTTATGACCGAGCTCACGTGTGAGCTGAAAGACACGTGCGGCGCACATGGCAGGCATACGGATCCTACGGCCACGGCCTTCGACTTTGGTGTGTCGGTCCTTTGTGGAGGTTCGTTTGGGAGGCGGTTTCTTGGAGAGAGCGTTAGGGTCGGAGTTAGGTTCGGTTGAAGAAGGGATGGTGGCTAAGGAAGTGGAGGAGGAGGAAGAAGAATCAAGAAGCTGGAGAGGGAAGTTGGGTCGGTGATGATTCGGGTTATGATCTGGATCTTGATCCATGTTGATGATGATGATGATCGAAGATGGTGGTGGTGGGGAAGTGGGACTACTGTCTCTGTTAGATCTTTATGTGAGCCATAGTTTTTATTTTCTCTCTCTCTATATCTCTGTTTTTTTGTTGGGTTTTAGAGAGAGAGAGAGGGTTATGGTCCTTAAGGACATGAAACTCCTTTCAGATGGGAAGCTTAGCTGTGTGTCTGTGTCTGAGTGAGATGAGTGAGAGAAGAGAGAGAGAAGGTTAAAGCAATGAATATGAAAGCATGGACTTTTTTTTTTTTGCTTTATATCTTTTGTTTTATTTTTGGAATTTTATTTACATCATAAACTATTCCCTTTGAGAATTTTTCGTTATATTTGGAAATAAAATATGGGTAAGGATATACGTGGTTTTCAGTACAATTATTCTAATCAGAGGTTTTGTAAAAAACGTACAGCGATCATTAAGATGAATGAAATGTGAAGAAAAAGAACTCGTATTTATTGCGTTTGATACATAAATTTTGTAGTAATAATGCAACCCTATTTGAACACTCTTTTTTCGTTTCGTTCCAATAATTTAAAAGGTGACGTCAGTTTTCGTCGTGACTGTTAACTTCATATCGATCGCGAAATTAATTGCACAGTTAGCGAAACTTTCAGCGATTCAGAACTAGAAACTCAGAAAAAGTTACATACGATATATTTTGTACGTACGTGACAACAGAATAATAAATAGATGGAATTATTATTGACAGTGATTAATCCATGGCTCTATGGTAGATCACGAGATCCACATGATAGAATCCAACTGCTTTTTAAAAAAAAAAAAAAAAAAGAATCCAACTGCTTTATTATGAAACAGATAGGTTTTATTTTTATTTTTAAATAAGTCTGATTCTCTGAATGAGTTTCCAGTTTAATATTATTTTACAAAAACCATATGTATATAGTTATACCCAAAATGAGAACCAGATATAGTGCTGTGAATATAGAAAAAAGCAAATTTGTATTGCTTCTGCTTTGTTTCCACCATTGGTGCTATATCAGTGACATACAATTGTCGTTAAAAGATGTAGCACTACATTTAGAAAATTATTTTGACACTGATGTGGACAAAACATTTCATTTTATTCATTCATTTAAAAAAAAAATCTAAGTAGTGATGAAGAAGCTTTTCTTTATTATGTGATGATTATTTATCATATAGAGAGAGCCACTTCATATACTGTTCTTTTGTTTACATATAATTTTCATGCATGGGAGTTTAGAGACTTACCCTTTAGTTTTCACCATAAATTTTCTAAAATACAACGGAATACATTTGGATAAACTTTTCTAACCTAATATAACTCGATCATGTTTTGCTGTCTAAATTTCTAATTATTGTTTCATATGGTTTCCGACCAAATTTTAAAGTCTTTTTTACTGATTTACGAAGAAACTTCAAAAACAAAAGCACCATAACGGAGCTCTAAAATTAGCATATGTTTTGTACCGTTTGCAAGAAATGTGTCGCTTAAAAAACGAACCAATTGCTCGAACCATCTTTTCACCAGTTGTATATAATTATTTCATGTTGGGTGATATATCTCTGACCAATTTAACGAATATATAATTATTCTTGTTTTTGTTGGGTGTAAACCTTTCTTAGTATATTTTATATATATATATATATATATAGATATATATCTGCCAGTATGTCGTTATATATTTAAAATATGTATATATAATTATATATTATTAAAATGTATACTCCTTATAAATTTTAATTAAAAGTATCGGCTTGTATTTAGTTAATACTTGTAAGAAAAGAAGAATCAAATACACAAAGCAAAAACGAACAGATAGTAGGAAAGTGTTGACGTGTTGTGCATATTGGACATGGCAGAATGATCACAAGAGTTTATGATTAATAAAGTCAGCCAACTAATTAATCACTCATTAATTATTTTTAGTCATTTTCTCCACTGACATATCTAAGATCCTGTTTATATACACATATGACTCCCCCATTTTTCCTCCTCAAAATAGGATCACAACTTGCCCCTAATGAATGAAACAATTTTGACTAATTAATCAACATATGCTTTATTCAAACATTTTCAACAACGATACTCGGTCCCAACATTCTGGTCAGCCAATTATCAGCTCTAAACTATTTAAGGTCGGATACTCGGATTCAAATAGATGTTTGACAATTCCAATTCTTCAAACCATATACACTAGTATTAATTTAATAAATCTCTTAATGGAGATTGTTTGGTTTGAGAGAATTAAAATATAAACTGCAAATTAACATATGGTGATATAAATGGCAGGATGAGAACAATAGTTTAATAGTGTCGTGGGACATTTCTGGATGATCAAGGTTTCAGGTTTTAAATCAATCTATCTGTCTAAATATACTTTTAAGGTTGTAAAATACAAATTTATGATAAAATATAATAGATGAATAAAAATAGTAATAAGAAGAAGAAATGCGAGTAAATAGAGATAGATAGAGAGATAGACAGTGGGGTTGAAACAGACTCCACGTGCGTGTCCTCTGCATCATTCACTCTCTAAAGACAGCGACCATAGCCTCATCCCTCCCTTATGGGCCCCACATCTAGTCAAGTCAAATTATTAATCTTTCTCCGATTTTTTTTCATATTTATATTTTCATGCTCCTTTTCATCTTTTGATTGAATCTAATTTACCATCAATCACGACTCACGACCTTTGTTTCAAAGATTACTGCGCGTAAACGATATCCATCTATCTCAAGAATTGCTGCCACTTTAGAAATTTCACATGATTCTTTATAGTAAAATTACATTTCTTTTACTTTTACATCATTTTCCCACTCATTTATACTTATATTAGAGAAATACCTTAATATACCAAAAAGTAAGTTTATAGTCGACATTACATTTTCCCCCAAAAATAACATAAACATTAATAATTGCCCTTTATATTAATACATTTGACTCAGTATTGTCCTCATTCTTCTTCTAAATTATCTTCAGATCAAATATGAAATCAGAAACTAACGATTATTTTAAGTAATATACGTTCTTCTCCTTGCTTGCAATAATATAATGAACTGAGATTTTGGAAATGCCATGGGCTGTCAGCTTTTGTAATTTGATTGCTGGAGATTTAGGAATATATATCTTCACAAGTTAATAAGTTATGAATCTACAGTAGACTGATTTATTTATACATTACACCATAACATATAACTTTTATTTTTGATACGCAAACCAATCGATTTACTTGTTACATGTTAATACTTTCCATAAATATTGTATTTATAATCGGTAAAATAAAATATGCATTTTGGAAATAAAATTCAAATCTTGTATTTGTATACAAGCATTACGTATCAACTATTACACCAAGAGATTTCCTAGGAAAAAAATATTTTATATGGAAAACCAAGAAAGCTAATAGAAATGTATTTTACATTTTTTACAGGAAATACATAAGAGTCTCTCGTAAAAAAACACTAGTTTTACTTGGCATTATTTTCCAACTCACTCGTATGAGTAGAGATGTATGTAAAATGGAGAGATATAATAGAAAATGGGAAACAAATTATTAAAAGAAAAAAAGTGGGCTCCCATCCACATTCACCAGCAATGATTGCCTCACTGCCTTTGCAGCTCCACTTCTGCCTCTTTCCTCTTTCTTTTTCTTTCTTTTATTTTCTCCACCATGCCTTGTATTTTTCTTTATATTTGCCCCGCATTTTTATTTCTTTTCGCATTTAGTCCCCTTCTTCCTCTTCCAAGTTACAAACAATAAAACTTATATAAATAATAATGTCAGAACTATAATCCAAAGTGCATGCAGTAAATAGTCTCATTTCTGAGTTTATTTATAAAGTAACATGATGAAAAAACAATAAACAGCGAATATTGACTTCGTGAATACTCAATATATGAATTTAAATCTGTTAGATAATTTGATGAATGGACTATTCAACGATAACACTTATTTTAGGGGATTAATCGGGTGGTAAGAAGCTCTAACTATTTAAAAAGACATTTTATATTATATGATATTATGTTATTTTATTAAAAAAAAAGACATGTTAAAATATTAACAATGTTTCGTTGGATCAATATTGTGAATAATCCTCTAATGGCTATCTACCTAGTTAACCCATCTATACGTCGTGATTTTTGTGTATGAGCTAAAAATACAGTTTTTCCATTAGAATAAGGAGAGTTGGTTAATTTTCTACTCTCTTGAGTCTTGGTAGACCAAGAAAATTCATTTATTAAAGCATATTAAAAATAGCCAATCCATCGAAATGAAAAAGGTTAATCAATACGTACTAATTATATTCCAAATCATAATATTATTGGTCGATATAGTTTCACCAATAATTATCCTAATCACGGACGATTAGTGATATATATATATATATATATATATATATATATTATAGTTTAGTGCTTGCATTTTTATAGCTATAGCCGTGTCCGTGTGTATAAATATAATATTTGTCGCCTAGCCAAATGTTAGTGATTTGTATGTAATACTAATATGTAACCATTTTATATGTTCGTTATGTGTCTCGTCTCATCGTACAGACAGTTTAACATGAACGTAATTAAAAATACACGTTTAACATTATGAGAACCAACTACGCTATTTAATTTTGATTTGATGCTTAATTTTATTGATAAAAATATAAAACGTTGATGAATATTTCATATACGTATATAGAGGAAATGAAAGAGAGAAAGAGCATTGAAAGCCATATGTACTGTCCATATTGGATTAGAAAGGAATAACAACATCGGCATGTATATCCCATGTGACAATAGTCCCTAATCCCTATAAATCTGATAAGCAAACACAATTTGGTCAAGAAATCTAATCCAAGGGAGGAACATCAAATGGACCTAAATTTGGGAACCGGAAGAGGTAAGGAGTCCGAAATGTACCTCTGTGACTCCACATTGTGGAAACTCACTTGTAGTGTATAAGATGAACTAGATGGACCCATACTTACCCAAACATGGATT